TTTATAAAAAGATGTATATATATATAATATCTTTATGTATATAAGTTATACCAAGTTGATTATAAAGGAATTCCCATTTCTCTCTATATTAGCGAACGCAGTCTCAGATTTTTTTTAAATTCCTATTTGTTACTGCGAGCTAAATAATAAATTCACATTGTCTGTATATAAATATATAGGTAATAATAGTATATATATATATATATATATATATATATATGCTTTGAACAATAAAATTTATACACTGAAAAAAAAGTGCTGTTGAATCAAATATCTCCATGCTATTGAATTCCCCGTCATTGATTCAATGACACATTTATATTAATCGAAAAGTATATTGCTTAAAACGAAAAAATGAAACTGTTTAAATTAAAAGTACGGTACTGTAGAATTAATGATATTGTGCAAATTGTTTCTATAGTTCATCTATATATAGCAACAGAATAATTTATTACTTCTTTGACATTATTCATTTGAAGCATCTAATAGATAAATTTGAAAAAAATGCATGTAAATTTAAATCAAATGAAAAATTGTTTGCTCTAAAGAAGCGCGCTCTGAAAACGAAAGCATATGCTTTCGTTTCAATGAGTGGTGCTATTGCGGACTGCCTATAGCATATGCTATAAAAATAAGAACACTATGTTTTGAGACATTGACAGGTACTAAATTTATTGAAATACTTACCCACATATATTTATATGTTTATTAAACCTGTCGTTTTTGAGATTCCAATATAAAAAAGTATTATTTAAATTCTTTTAATTAATTAATGACTAGTTAAATATAAATTCCCTATATAAATTCCCTTATATACGCGAAAAATCTCGAGCACGGTATTTAACCACAAAGTAAGTGCCCAACGTTGAGAAGCGGATGTATTACATTGCAGCGCGGCGGTTCTCGTCTATCACGGAAGTTAAGCGTCGTTGGTCGCGGTTACTAAATGGATGGGTGACCGCTTGGGAATAGCCGTATTTTTCTGACTAAAAAAGATAAGTGTGTTTGAATGTGTATGTGTGTGTGTGTGTGTGTTTAGCCGTTGGAAAAAATGAAAATAATAATAAAGATGTATATGTTAGTGTGAAAAATTGAAAAAAAGATGTGTATAAAAAGTGTTGTGTTAAAGGTGTGAGAATTAATTTATAGTATATAAAAAACATGTGAACAAAAATTCCCTTTTTTCAATTCATCGTTAGTATATATTTAACCACATAAAAGAATTGAATTAACAGTATGGTGTTATTCAATCGATAGCAACAACTAAAAAAATTAAAAGTACAAATTTTTGAATCATAAAAATGATGCTTTTAAATTTAAAAGTTATAGTCATTGACTCAAAAGCATATACTGTTAAATTAAAAAATTTTGTTCATTGATTCAAAAGGAATACCTTCGAATTAACATAGTATGCTGTCAATTTGAGAAATATGCTTTTGTTTCAAAGAAAGTGATACTATCGAATCATTAGAATCGGTGCTTTCAAAACAACAGCATATACGTTAGGCAGCCCGTTATGACACTATTCAATGAATCAAACCCATATGTCATTGATTCAACAGCATTTTTTTCTCCGTGTACACAATCATAAATATATATATATATATATATATATATATATATATATATATATATATAAATAAAAATTTACCTAAGATGTAATTTTACATCATTTTTTTATATTTCTTTTTTTATTTTATATTTATTTATATATTTTATTATTTTTAATATTTATTTTTAATATTTATTTTTTATATTTATTTTTTATAGTTAAAATTTTATATATATTTCTAATGTTATTTATATAGTAATTTTTTATTTTATTTTAGTTAGTAATTTTATATACTATAAAATAGTGGAATACTTCTCTATGCAAATATATAAGTTTGTACAAACGTATAGAGTTTCAAATTATTAATAATATATGTACGTGAATGTGGAAGAAAACATTACTGAATTTACAAGTGGCATAAACAAATTTTAGTATTTTATGTAATCGGAAACAGTATAATTGGAGAGATAAGAGAGATATTGTATTAATTAGAATTTTTTTTCAACAGATGTGCGTCACGTTTGATACGAAACTATTTGATTTTTTTATCTGATTTTCGATATTGCTTTACAATAATTTCCTACTTCCTTATAGAGAAAGTATTTTTATTCGTTTCAAATAAAATTTAAAATTATTTTTAATTTTCAATTTAACTTATTTTTATTCTAAATTTGCTTATTTTTATTTTATATTTATTTATATTAATTTATATTTATTTAAATATTTTCTAGTTTTATTCATTAATACGAGTTAATTATATTATTTACTAATTTAAAATTTAGAGTTGGACAAAACAACTAAGGAGATGAATTAAAAAGAAGAATTCTATTTAAAAATATAATTGTTTACATAAGAAAAACTTGATTTCAGAAAAAATAATAATTATATCGTTTATATTGAATCTAGAAAAAATTATTATTTCTCGTCGAATCTAGAAACAATTATTATTTCTCATTGAGTTTAGAAACAAATTATTATTTCTCATTGAATCTAGAAACAAATTATTTTTTTCCCTTTTGAATCTAGAAACAATTATTATTTTATTTTATCTGAAAACAATTATTATTATTATTATTATTATTATTATTATTTTTAATTGAATCTAAAAAGAATTATTATTTTTCACTGAAACTGAAAACAATAATTATTATTTCTTGTTTGAATCTATAGAAGTAATTATTTCTTATAATGAAACTTATAATGAACTTATAGTTACAATAAAGTTATAATTAGTTGTAATAAATTATAAATAAAAATAAATAAAATAATAACTTAGTTATAATGACCTTATAATGAACTTATAGCATTTAAAAATTTTTGCTTTCTATCCAAATTAAAATAAAAAAAAAAAATTCTTTGGCTTAAAAAATTTCGTTTTAAAATTATTAAAAATTTAAAATATTCGATATAAAAATCTGTTCTATTCGATCATCATGAAGCTATTATTCTTTTCAAGGAGACTTTTTTTTCGTTTCTTTTTTCTTCGGAGTAGGCGGTGTAAAAAAAAATGTTTAATCGATCTTCTATACTTGCGCACTGTATATCTATATAGGTACCAAGGGAGTAAATATAATTTAACGGTAGTCTTAGCTTTTATTCTTTGGATTAATGAGACAGTAAACACATATAAGGCCAGACAAGTTTTTAATGAAGGTATAAAAGCCTGTTTTATCTGTGTGTCTAACTGAATTTACTTTATTCAATTTTTTTCCTCCATCATCAAAATGGTCTTCATTCTTTCAATTTAATTTGGAATTTATTTTTTATTTTACTAATGTAATTATATATAGTTGAAAGAAAGAACAAAGTGGAATTATATTAACAAGGAAAAAAAAATAACGGTAAAAAGATTTTCTTTAAAAATACTATAATTTTTAATTTGAGAATATTATTTTGGTTGGGAGTAAAATTCTAAGCGATGATTTTATATTCAAAGTATATAAATTCGATTTTGTTATGTTCATTAAAAATTTGAAAATTAGAAAATTAATTATTAAGAATAAAAAAATGAGTATATAAATAAAAAAATGAATAAATTTGAAAGTAAGAAAAAGTAATTGTAAATATTTTTCTAAGAATAAATAGAAAATTAATAAATAGAAAATTAGAGTTAGAAAGTTAGAGATGCAGTTTGGTCACGCGGTTAAGGTCCTCGATTTGTAATCAGATGATCTAGGTTCGAATCCCGTCTGGGTATTTTTTTTTCTAAGAGAACATTCTTTTAATTCTTACTTTATTTTGTTATTGCGAATATTTTCTATTTTTTTTCTTATACTTTTTTTCATATATTTTCAAACTAATATTTTTTATTCTACTTTTTCTTATTTTATTCTGAATCCGCTTTCTTCAATTTTTGTATTCTTATTCTTATTATTATTATTTCTTTTTAGTACAGTTTTCATTCATTAATTTTAATACCCTTTTGTTATACAAGACTTTTTTTTTCAATTCTACCTTGAAAATTATATTACAACATTAGGAAGAATAAAAATAAAGGAGCAATATTCTTAAATGGAAATTAAGAACGAGTAAAATATTGTTTTCAAATAGAAACAAGAAAGAGAATGGAAATTAAAAATTTAATTTTTATTTAAAAAAAAATTTGCGAAATAAAGTGAAGATTTGATTCACTTGCATTTATAACAGTTTCATAAACTATCTCTCATGGTGTAATTGTCGCAATTTTCTTTTGAAATTGCTACTTTTTTATGACGTTATTAAAAACTTGATGCATTTTGTAAATTCTTTCGAAAATATAATAATAGGGCTTTTATGGTAAATCGTAAAAGTGAAGAGAGAGAAAAAAAATTTTAAATACATTTAGATAATACTTTTTTTTAAAGACAGTAAAAAAATGATGTGAACACATGTGGATAATATTTTTTTTAAACTGTAAAAAATTATATAAACAATAAAAATGAAAATAGGAAAAATTACTATTTGTTGGAAAAACTTACTAATTCTAAAGGAAAAAGTAATTTACTAGTTAAAATTAGTAAACATTTTTAATAATTAAAATTTAAAGAGTGATGACAATATTAGAATATAAAATTAAAATGTCAAATTAAAGTAGAAAATGTAAAATGTAACCTAAATATAAAATTAAAATGTTTTACATTTTTTTGTTTACTTAAAATGTAAAATTAAAAAAAATATAAAATATATAAAATTAAGGTATAAAATTAAAATATAAATTTAACGTAAAAAATTAAAATGTAAATTTAAAGTAAAAAATTAAAATATAAAATTAAAATGTAATATTACAAAACTAAAATTGAAAATTAAAATGTGATTTTAAAAAGTTAATTATTAATATAAAATTGAAAGGAAAAATGATAAAATTATATAAAATAGAAAAAAGATATACAGTAAACTAGGAAAAAGAAATTAAAGTAATAAAAGAAAAGAATTTACAAGGATTAGAAAAAAATCAGGTGAATAAACTCACCGGTACCAAAGAAGAGGCACGTCAAGAAAATCCATAGGAAGAACATCGCTCCACATTTGTTGAAAAATGAGCAGCAATATTCTCTCCTCCTTATCGGGAATAATTTTCAAAAAACTTTTTTTGGCACATTTAACGTAATTTTCCTCGCGTTTTTTTTATCATCCAACTTCGACAATCATTTTACTCATCACTTTTTCATTAAAAAAAATTTTTTTTTCCCCTTTTTTCCTCTTTTCTCAAATCATCTCATTAAAATTCAAAACTACTTTTTACTTCACAATAATCGTTTTATTAATTATAACTTTAGAATGCAAAAAAAAAATTATCGTATTTTCGCAAAAACACTTTTTTCTCCACTACATCCACAATTGCAAAGATTCATCCTCGTTGAGTAAAATATTAACGATTAAGTCCAGTTTTTCTCGAGAATAATAAAGAAAAATTTATTATTATTATTATTTTTTGTTTCACTTGACCCACTTAGATGTAATAATTATTCCAATCTTTTCAAAAAACGGGAAACTTTCACTGAATTGTAATTTTCCATATTCACTTCTTTTGGGGGTAAAAAAAGAATTTTTGGGAGAAAAACACTTTTTTGAAAAAATTCTCCAAAAGCACCAAAAAAAAAGAAATAAGGTTTTATTCCTCCTTAAAATTTTTCACTTCACATTTTTTTTTCTTTTTTTCGAAAAGCACTTGATTGACGTTTATTATATTCGACTAATATATTAAATATAGTCAATCAAAAAATTGACATCAGACGTAATAAAAACCGGCTTTCGTGATTTTCTTTGGTGAATATAATCAACTTGACACGCATCGAGCTCACTGCGCGAATGAATCCGAGTAAAACGTTTGTGGTATAAAAAAATTTCACCTGTTGCTTCAATAAATAGATGGTTTCAAATTATAAATTCCAATGGTAAAATGTATACTTATTTCAATGATAATATAAAAAATAGTTTGAAATCGAAAAATTTTCTTTATTTTTTTTTTGGGGGGGAAATATAATTTTGTGCTTGAAAATAAATTTTATAAAGAGAGAGAGACAAACGTATGTCACGATGGTCTGTCATCGACTGCCATTAACTACTAACACTACTGTCATGGCCGACTATCGAGTTTAACTTCCATCTGATACTTTCAAAACTAACACAATTGATATTTTTTTCGTTTCTTTCATAATTTGAAAATTTTAAATTATACTTTTATCAAATTGTTGTTAAATATTGAATAAAATTTTATAAATAAAGAGGATTTTTTTTATTAAAAAAGTATTTTTTTCCTAACAGGTTAAAAAAAAGTGGTAGTAGTCAGTTACGTATATTGGTTTGCCTATCGTCAGGAGTTGTGGTTTGAAATTATTTTTTTATTATTTAATTTAGTTTTTTTAATTTATTCCGTTTATTTTATTATTCGATATTTTTTTATTCAGTTTTCTTGTTTTCCGATAATATTTAAGCATTAATCTTGCTTTAAAAAATTAGGTGTGAAAAAGTAAAAAATTAGAAAACTAAAAGAAAATTAGATTCAAAATTTCATCAGATAATTTGATTTTAATATTAATAACTATTTTTTTTATTATATAAATAATTTTTAAATTTATTCATTTGATTTTATTATTTAATAATTTTTTATTCAGTTTTCTTGATTTCAGATAATACTTAAGTATTTCTCCTAATTTTAAATAATTATTATAAAAAAGAAAAAAATAGAAAATTAGTTTCAAAATTTCATCTTCTAATTCGATTTAAATATTAATAATTATTTTTTTTATTATTTAATTTAATTTTGTTTATTTTTTATTTTATTAAATAATTTTTTTTAATAATTTTTTTACTTACAATAAATTTCTGCAATTATTTATAATTTTTCCAAAATTAGATTTTTGTAATAAAAAATTCAATTGTTTAACTAACAAAAAGATTTAAGTTTCATTGTTTAGTAAGAAATTTAAATTTAAATTTTTATTTTAGTTTTAATTTTAGTTTTAATTTTAGTTTTAACTTTAGTTTTAATTTTAATTTTAATTTTAATTTTAATTTTAATTTTAATTTTAGTTTTAGTTTTAGTTTTAGTTTTAATTTAAGTTTTAATTTTAGTTTTAATTTTAATTTTAATTTTAGTTTCAATTTTAGTTTTAATTTTAGTTTTAATTTTAATTTAATCAGTTAGTTTTTCATTAAAATTTAGTTAAAATTTAATTTTTAGAATATATTAAAATATTATTAGTTTTAGTGAAATATAATTGTCATATGGCAGACAATATATAAATTATGGAAGTTGAAAAGAGAAAATACGATGAGAATGGAAATGACAAAAGTGTTGTGAACATAAAAAAAAGAAATTAAATAAAAGATTTGCCGTACCCATCCGTTGACGACTTCATCGAATGATGTTTCTCTCATCATCGACAAAAGACTCTGCAATTATGTGGCCTTGATTCAAAACAATGTTATTCGCTTGGAAAAAAAATGATGTAACTACTGACCGAACGACTGATTATTGTGTGGATTTCTTTTATTACAGGTTTTAAATTTACGTTTTTTTAAAAATATTTTTCAAACATTTTCGAGTAAATTTCATTAATTTCTTTATCATTTTAATATCTGTAGTTCTTTTAATTCACTACTTTTAGTCAATTTTATTAAAATTATTTGTTAATTTAGTAATTTTTTGTTTTTTCAAATATTTTTTGCATTATTTATTTTATATATTTTTTTAATAAAATAAAATTAGCTTTATTCCATAATCATAATCAAAATAAGAAAATTTTTTTTCATAAATTTCAATTTTGCAATTATTAAAAATTAGTGCTTAATATTCGTCAAATGATTGAAGTAAGTAGAAAAGGACAGTCTTTAACAGACAGAGAGAATAGTTTTTTTTAAAGATTTTAGTAAAATACAGTTTTACTTGATCGAAAAATTTATATTCGAAATTTTTAGTAGTAAAGGATAATATTTAGTCAGACAATACTTAGAAATTATTAACAACATAATTTAAGAATTAGTAATAATTAATAATAATTTAGTGTTAGTAGTAGAAGAAAGTTTTACTCAGACCAAAAATTCGTATTAAAAAATTTCAGTGGTAAAATATAATATTCAGTCAGACAAGACGTACGATTTTTATTATAATTTCAAATACTAGTAGTAAAACAGATTTTCATTGAAATAAAAACGAAATAAAAGAAATTAAAAATTTAAAGTAGTAAAAACAACACTTAGTCAGACGAGACTTTTAATTTTTTTAAATTTTAGTACAGTTGTCAGTAGAAGAAGTAATTCTTATTCAGACTGTCAATAATAGAAAACAACCCTCAACGATATTAAAATAAGGAGAAAATTTTAAGACGTCTGACTAAAAACGACTTTTACTACTAATTTCAAATTTTTCAAAAAGTCTGACTTAAACTGAGTTTTACTACTAGATCAAAAATTTCATTTAAATTTAGATTTACTACTAGACTAAAAATTTAAAAAGACTAAAGTTTAAACGTCTGAATAAAAGTATTCATTATTGTTACAAAAATGTCTGACTAAAATTGACCTCTACTACTGGGAAAAAAGTAACAATATTTCAAAATATTTAAATAAGACTGGCCATTCCTACTTGTGTTAAAATTATTCAAATTTTAATGTCTGATTAAAATTGAATTTTACTACTAGGAAAAAAAGTGGCGAACATTTTTATGTCTGACTAAAATTGGTTTTTACTACTAAGAGATAATTTACAAAAATTTTAATATATTCTTACTACTAAAATAATATAAAAACTATAAGCAAATGTTATCAATTGTCTGAGTCAAACTAGTTTTTACTACTGGCACAAACATTACAAAAATGTTCATGTCTGACTACTGCGACAAAAATAACAAATAATAATTTAATTCCTAACCTGGAGGGATTTTTATGATTAATTTTAAATTAATTAAAATTGTAATGCCTGACTGGAAGTGGCCCTTTCTACTTGTAAGAAAATTGCAATAATTTCCAAAATGTCTGACCAAACGTGGTTTTCACCACTGGTGCTAAAATTAAAAAATTGTCATTACCCACGTAGAATAAACCTTTATTAATAGGTGTAAATTTACAAACAATGTTAATGTGTGACTGAAATTGATCTTTACTACTAGGGTAAAATTTAAAACAGTTTTTATGTCTGTTCAAAACTGGTATTTACTACTGGGACAAAAGTTACTGAAATTTTAATGAGTTACTCAAATTAGTCTGTTCTACTTGTACTAAATTAATGGAAATTATTAATTGTCTGACTAAAATTAGTTTTCACTACTGGGACAAATATTACCAAATTGTCCAAGTCTGACTAAAATTGGCCTCTACTACTGTGACAAAAATATCAAATAATTTAATACCCGAACATGATGGATTTTCGTTATTAGTGTTAAATTGATTAATATTGTTATGTCTGACTGTAACTGGTCTTTACTACTTTTTACAAAATGCACCAAATTTGTAAGTCTGACTAAAACTGTTCTTTACTACTGGGAAAAAATTACGAAAATTTGTAATGCCTAACTCAAATTAGTCCTTCCTGCTTGTACTAAACTAATGGAAATTATTAATTGTCTGACTAAAATTGGTCTTCACTACTGGCACAAACATTACAAAAATGTCCAAGTCTGACTAAAATTGGCCTCTACTACTGTGACAAAAGTTATAAAAATTTAAATGTCCAACTATAAGTTTTTTTTTATAATACTTGATTCAAAAAACGAAATTTATATCTTGTCTGACTGAAACTATCCGTTACTACTTGTATTCTTAAAAACAATTTTCATGAAATATCAATATTTATTTAGAATTTTTTATTATTATTTATTATTTATTAACATTTATTTATTTTAAAATTATTATAATTTGCTTAGAATCGATAAAAATATAAGTAAAAAATTAAATTTTAAAAACAAATAAATAAATAGGTATAAAACGAATAAAATTTGAGTTGGAAAAATCAAAAAACCAATCTATAAAGAATTTAAAAATTTTATCATATGAGTAAACATTCATTTCACGTTAAAATATCAAATCGTAAAAAAAAAATTTCCTTTGGAAGAAAAAGAAGAAAACTACCATTTCCCAAAGAAAAAACTTTTCACTTAATCATTTGAGGATAACAACCAAAAAAAAAAAAAATGTTTCCTCTACAGAATTCTATTTTAACGACAAAATCATCAATTCTCTTGCAAGCTTCATAAAAACACCGTGAGATGTCTTTTCATAACTACACACACAAAAAAAAAGTATATATAAAAATAAAAATTTCCCGCCATTACTCTAAGCGCCGCACGCCGGTTATTAAGGCGCAATTCTTTAAATATTGATTGAAAGTAGTTTGAAAAGCGCAGGAGAAAGAGGGTTTTTTGATGGCGGGCATATAGAGGGATGGGGTTATATACAGAAAGTGATGGTAGAGAGAGAGAGAGAGAGAGGGGGGAGGGAGGGTGATCGGTATAGGCACGGAGGGGGGTGGTTTAAGGCGGGGGGGGGGTTGTGGGGGTTGTTGAAGAAGAGAAGAGAACGAAAAAGTTAAAGAAGATGAAAAAGAAGACGGTGAAGGTTAGCGAACGAGATGAGATGAGATGAGAAGGTGGACGAGTAAAGAAGGGGAAAGCGTCTATTATATATGATGGGCGCGGCCGCCCTATATGGATTTTTTTCCCATTATAAATGCAGGGCATTTCGCTTATAAATTCTTAATCACGCCGCTTTGAACATCCTATGAAAATTTTATCGAACCAAGAAAGCCAGTTATCTAATCATCATTATTATCATTATCATTTTTTTATATGAAAAAAAAAATTTTTTTAAATTTTTTATTAAAAAGTAAATTTATGCAAACATATTACAATTATTATTATTAAATATTACAATTTGCATAATAAAAAATGGAATATTTGTATTTAATATGAATAAATAATAATATATAAAAATATGAATATTAGAATTTAAATAATAAAAATTATAATAATACACATTTTTATCTTATTTAATAATAATAAAGAATGTTGAAGCAATTATAATATTGTTACTATTATTATTCATATTATTATGATTATTATAATTATTA